AAGGGGGCTTTGAGACGGGACTTCCCATTTTGTGTGGGGTGCAGAGCCAAAGCGCCGCAACTAGGGGGAAGTGACATCATGGGCAGCGGTTTGGCGCGTGTCACTGACTGCGCTCTAATGGGGGGGGCAGACTGTCCCCAGGAGCCGCAGCAGAGGTTGGGACCGGACGGGCTGCTGGGGGAATTCTGATCTGCCTCAAAGCAGGGGGGGCAGCAGTTTTCCCTGCCAGCCCCCCCCTCTTTGCCGCTGGAAGAAACAGTAGTAAAGTCCTGCTCTGAGTTTGCTTTGCCAGATTGGAGTACTTATGCAGGCCAAGCAGTGTTTGATCACGTCCTGTCAAGCAGTGTCATGGGATCGGGGGGGGGGGGGTCCACATGCGCAACTAGTCACGCGCACACAGCCAGTCACGCACAAGCACACACACGCACGATGCCAGTCACGCATACACACACATATGCAGTTTATCATGCACGCATGGAGCCAGACAGGCATGCACACACATGCCCAGCCAGTCATGCACACACATGTAGGCAAACGCTCATGCACACAGCCAGACATGCACACGCATACACATGCAGGTAATCGCACGCGCTGCAGGCAAACGCTCACGCACGCAGCCAGACATGCACATGCATACACATGCAGGTAAATGCATATGCACACACATGTAGCTAGTCATGCACACACACATGCACACTCACATGCAGGTAAATGTGCATGCATGCACACATGCCGCCATTCATGCACATGCACACGCAGGCAAACACATACATGCTCACACACACATGCAGCCAATTACGCACACACATGCAGGTAAATGCACAGGCACACACACAAGGGTAAACACACAGGGACACACACACACACACCACACACACACACAGGTAAATGTACACAAACACATTTAGACACACACACACACACAGATTTCCATTTTAATTCTTAAAAGAGCCCTCTAGTGCCCTCTGCTGTTCTGAATGTGAGGTGAAATCCCTGTCAGTGTTCACGTCACTCCGACTCCCCCCCCCACTGGCCCCTCCTCCTGTGCAGGCCAGTTTGACAAAACTGAGCTGCAGTACGACCTTGGCCATCCTAGCAGACCTGGCAGGTAACAGGCCACCATCTCAGTACAGCCTAGGTGCTGCTCTGCCCCCCCCCCCCCTGCATGGCATGAACTGGAGTGGAAGGCAGTAGTGCCTGGGATAGAGGGAGGGAGGGAGAGAGAGGAGAGGGAGAGGAGAGGGAGAGAGAGGGGAGTATCCCCCAGGCACGAGGCCGTGAGCATTAGCCCCAGCCGTGCCTCTAAGGTCTGTTGGTGAGACAACTTTACTCTGTGAGTCTGATTCTACAGCGACAGTGCCTTTGCGGGGTGGAGGGGGGGTGGAGGGGGGGGGGATTGGGCAGAGCAGCACCTAGGCTGTACTGTACTAGGCTGTACTGAGAAGAGACTGTTTCTATTAGCTGCTCTATTTGGGTCAAGGTCCAGATGTGAGGCAGATAGACTCGGCTTGAGCATGACGCAGAGCCCATGTTGGTCAAACTGGAAGAGCGCTGTCACACTGATGGCCACCGGCACTGGTCACCTTGTGATGGAATGCAAGCTATGAGGATGGACAGCAAACCACCTTCTGACAGCTGGAGAGGGCTTCTGATGATGGCCCCAGACCCACCATCAATGTGCTCAATGGTCATCTAATCCCAGGCAGATCTGGGTCATATGACAGGAAGTGAACAAGCATTAAATGGAGGGAGTGACAATACAGTGCAACAGAAGGAAATTAAGTGGCTGGGATGTCATGGGTGCCAGAGTTTCTGACTGCAGAGTCTGTAGTGCACCCCCTAGTGGTTCACATGGAAACGTGCTCACCCTGACCCAGCAGGATGTGACATTTCTGCACCAGTGCCCCAAGGTGTGATGATCCACCGAGCTGAGGGCATCTGAATGCCCGAGACTGTGCCTCCCCAGTGTATGACCCCCAGTGAGGGGACCGTGCAGGTGAAGAGGATGGCATGCCACCAGGGTATTGGTAAGGGGGGGGGTCCCAGAGGCCGGACCGAGTGAGTGCCTGTTCAACAGAACTTTCATGATGCTAAACATCAGTCATGACATATCAAGGTGGTGAGCAGAAAACTACAGCAAAGATTTATAGCCCTCCCCTAGTCCCCCCTCCTGCTCTGAGCCAAAGGCCCCCTCACCTCCTGCTCTCCTATGCTTAACCCCCCCTATATGTGTACTCTTAAAAACACGTTGTGGCTACTGCTTTTCCAGCCTGCATCTCTGCGTCTGTCCCGCTCCTGTCCTTAGCGTCTCTGCGTCTGTCCCGCTCCTGTCCTTCGCGTCTCTGTGTCTGTCCTGCTCCTGTCCATCGCTTCTCATCCATTTTGCTCCTTTCCTGTCCACGTGCATCCCACTCCTGCCCTTAACATCACCACATCCACCCCTCTCCTGCCCTGCGCGCCTCCACGTCTGTCCCACTCCTGTACATTGTGTCTCCACATCTATCCTGCTCCTTAGCATCACCACATCCGTCTTACTCTTTCTGTACCCTTATCATCCTTGTAAATGTGACGGTCCATTAATGGTTCTGCTCCGCCTCCCATGCCGCTTCACCTCACATCGCCCCCATCTGGCTAACAGCTAATTGCATCAGTGCATTAGCACTGCCTGTGATCTTGGTCATGCTTTCATCTAAGACTGTAAACATGACTTAATTGCATCCTTTTAAAGAAGTTTATTAATTATAACACAATCAAATAGAGAAGGCATCAGCCAAACCGATGTGAAAGTCACATGAAAACCATGCATTCCCCACCACCCAGCTCTGAGCCTGTCAACAGGCTGTGTTTATGCAGGTCCAGGGTCAGCTACACTCCTTTAACATTCTTTCACACTCTCAGAGGTATCTCTCTAATAAAGTTTGAGCTTGTTTGGGGGGGGGGGTGCCCTGTGGCTTTTGTCATTGGAGGCAGCCCCCACCCAGCCCGTTCCAATGCCTGCCCCGTTTGTTCATGTCTGCTGTAAGCTGTCAACCATGGAAGAGTTTCTTAGCTGCTTCATTTTGGGGGTAGAGCCTTACAGAAGGCATGCAGTTTATGTTTTATCGGCTTGGGGAAAAAACAAAACAGCCGGAATTTCAAACAACCTACGCTGGCAGCTGTTTCAATCAAATAAAAGGCATGGCGTCACCGTCATTCTGCCCCTGTGGGGCCAACGTCTGACTTCGCTTATGTATATTTCACCCCCCCATGAGAATTCCTCCATGCACCAGCAGGGGTGCTGTTTGCACCGATGGGGTATTTTTGGTGTTTTGTTTTCATTAAGACAAAAAACGCTGACATAAAAAGACAAACATGCAAAAATAAAGAGCAGTATCTTTGTCATAGTGCGATTCAGCCTACTGCAGAATCTGTTGCTCTGTATTCTGTTTATAATTTCGATTTCCGGCACTGTTTTCTGTAACCAATTATTATTTTTGAGTCTTGCTTTGATATGTCCAGGACGACTCGTGCTTTGCATGCACCATCAGTATCGATAAGATGTGTAAAATGGGTCAGCTGTGCTCCTAGTTTGTAATCGGGGTGGCTGCTGTGTACTCCCCAGTCCCCTTTAATACAAATACTGCCATGAGCTGCATATGACGATTGAGTCCATCACTATCATTAATAATCATAACATAAAAAACGATCGCGGATTTGAGTCACGCATGCGCCTCAGGAGTGTGACGTACCCGAACCTTGCGCAATATCCGGCTTATAGCCCGTCTATAGCCCATATTCAATATGGCGTCGGCCACTGAGGTTGGTCAATATTCTCCGGATATATAAAGTTTTCAGTTTTGCGAATGTTCTGTTGTATCGTTATAATGTAGACGGTAGGCGCGAAGTATCTTAAATGACACTGATAAACGAGTCGAGGCGGTCTTGTAAGCCAACATTCATCTGGTTATGAGGCCGAGGCCGCTTTGTTTGTAGCCGTCTGCTAGCTGTTAGCGACTGACTAATGACTACACTTGCGCGGTTTGTTAGTTCATAGCTTATCCTCCCCCTCCGTGATTTATTCTTTTCACAATGTCTACATCTCCTTATTCAGGGTGCTGGGTTGTCGGTTGACGAAGAATCACCAGTTTCACAGAAAAGAGAGGAGAGGCTGAGGAAGTTCCGCGAGCTTCACTTCAAAAGGGTGAGTGTGCTCGTGCTGGCCCTGGCTGGGTCCGGCCCGGTTAGTGTCCTGGGCCTCGCGGGGGGACATTTCAGAGACAGTCACGGCGTTTCCTGACAGCTATATGACCACTGTCCGTTTCAGGTGAATTAATTAAATCGTGTTAGTAAGCATTGTGAAACCCGCCCCTCGTTACTTGTTGCCTCAATGTACGTTGTTTCGCATACCAGGGGTAGCCAGTATTATCCACAAAAGGGCCAGTGTGTGTGCAGGTTTTTGGGATAACCTTTATGGCAGGTGTGAGGACTCTTTAAACCAGGGGTCTCCAACTCCGGTCCTGGAGAGCTACTATCCCGTAGGTTTTCTATCCTACTTGGCTTCTGATGAGCCACACCTGCTCCTGGTATTTACCTGAGAATATGTGTGGCTCATCAGAAGCCAGGTAGGATTGAAAACCAACTGGATAGTAGCAGGACCTGAGTTGGAGACCCCTGCTTTAAACGATCAGTCCTCTCACTACTAATCCAATTAGGGAGCTGCAGTGAAAATCTGCATCCACAATGACTCTTTCTGAGTAAGATTGGCCCCTGCTGTTTGTAGATGGTATGATAGTACAGCACGCTTTACTTCACTTGATGCATACCCTAGAATGAAGCTCGCAAGCTGAACCACCAGGAGGTGGTGGAGGAGGACAAGCGCATGAAACTCCCAGCTAACTGGGAGGCCAAGAAAGCCAGACTGGAGTGGGAGCTGCAGGTGGATGAGAAGAAGAAGGTACTGACCATGAGCGTGGCATGACTGAGCCTGATGTGGCACCCGAAAGAGGGCTCTCTGCCAGCAGTCCATTTCAGGCCACCTTCGCAGGCATGTCAGCAAATCAGTTAGGGCAGTGACGGCATGCATGAGAAGACCGTAGCTTCCTGCTGCACAGGTCAAATTCCGTTCCATGTTGTATTGATGCTTCTGTTGCATATGTATGAGTTCAGCTACATCTTCTGACTGAGAGGGACCGACACATTAGTGCAGCTTGAGGTCAGAGCTCTGTAAGCTCTGCCATCTATCCGAAGCCTTGTAGGCGAGCCAGACAATATGCTCACTCTGCTGGCCACGCTGACTGGCTCCAGTGAGCTGAGGCGCCGGCTGTTCTTGGTGTGTGTGTCTGTCTCTGTTCACACACGTCTGTAAGCCGCCTCCCTCCATGTCTCCATCAGGATTGCGTGGCCCGTGGTGAAGACTATGACAGGGTGAAGTTGCTGGAGATCAGCGCGGAGGACGCAGAGCGATGGGAGCGGAAGAAGAAGAGGAGGAACCCGGACCCTGGCTTCTCGGGTGAGGCGGGT